TTAAATTGATCTCTCGAGCTAGTGGCTGCGATTTTTTTCGGAGGAGGTACAGGGTTTTGGAGTTTTTGTGAGGAGTTCTTCACTTTTTCAGCCGGTTCTCCGGCTGCCCAGATTTGTAACAGGTGGCAAGTGCATTAGCCGTCTGCATCCTCCACCGGAGGTCGAACAGGACGCGGTCGCTCGATCCTTCCCGTGAATCTCTCAACTCATCTCTGATTTGGCAGAGATGAGTTAGGAGATTGCCATAATGGTAAGCCACCACCGTCAACTGCCGCATGGTATTACCATCACGAATACGTGAGCCGCCAACGGCAACAGGTAGATGGCACAGCCATCGCGAGTGTGTGGGGATTGTCAAATATATTTCACCACTTTATTTATAATTATTGTTTTATTAACATAGCAAAAGGAGCAGATTTCCACGTGCGCTCTAGAATTGGTCACAAAGTCTTCTCATCGATTTACAACTCTTTTGTCAACATTTTCCGACGTAGTCGTCTTTTGGTTCGAGGTAAGTAAAGTAATGTGCACGCGGGGTTACGCAGTTTACACCGTCATGATCGCATCGCGCTCGACGCGCGCATCGCCCCTGGTGGTCGATGGCCGGACTTCGTCCCGGGCCCGCCACAAGTGCGCGAGCCCCTACCAGAAATTCGTTGCGCCGCCCTTGGGAGCAAAAAACAGTGAAAGCAAACGTACGAAACCAGAGGGCAGCACACGATGCGATCGCGCGACCCTGCCCGTGAGCAATCTCCCAACTCATCTCTGAACGATGATGTATTTATCTCTTTCTTTCACAGACCTTACCCTTCCATAGCCACTTTGGTGGTCACACGTTTTTCGTGAAAATTACCTATATAAAATTTTCTTACATATATACAACTGTGCATGCACACTATTCATTTTGAACATATTTTGTTATATAATTTTATTACCTCATTTCTTGCCAGGAATCACATATACCTCAGTATTCGTTATGTCCGGCGCCAGGAATTCTGTAAAACATTCGATAATCAATATGAATCCGTAACAGGTATTTTTAACCTCCTTTCACATGTCAAGGTCAATAATTCGCTTGAATGGAGTTTCGATTTAAAATATCACTTCCGCTTCAATTTAAAACACTGAGTGAAACAAAATATTACGTATGACACTGTAAATATTCTGACCTAACTGATTTTCTGTAACAGGTTGGAGAGAGCAATTAATTCGACCTTGACTTTCTTGGTCCTTCGGGTCCAATTAAATTGAAACCATTTTCCCTTTTTCTTTTATACTCCTTTGGTACGTATTTCATTACCTAATATTTATTGTAGAATGAAATTTGCGGTGGCACTATTTCCACTTTTTAGTGCCACGCGTCCATTTGAACCGATAACAATAGACGATGCGGAAATTAAAGAAGGCAAGAAGGTTAACGAGACGTTGAGGCAGGCTCTGGAACGAGTGGTTACACTCCTGAGAGTCACATGCCGCCAGAAACGTCATCAGTACGTATATGCCAGACGGTCGGCCGACTTCACAGCATTTCGGAGCGCATGCACCAAATACATAAGCTTCCGTGCACGCTCGGCGATTCATTCGCTTTCGGCCAATTGGAAGTTACACGCGGTACTTTACGAGCTAGAAGCCGACTCCACGTGCAAAGTATGCACCGCATTTCCTTGAGACGCGGAGCTAGCATCTGCTTGTGAAAACGTCCCGCGAAACAAAGTGAGTATGAATAATTAATTGCAATTTCATCGTACGTAAGATATATAAAGCTGATGCTGTTTCATCTTATCTCCGACATGGAGATGTACATCTTGCAGTGGCGCGAAAATTGCGCGTTACGGACCGCATATCGATCGCGAAAACTCATCGGTGTTGGCGAATTCCGAGCACAGTAGTTTGACGCGTCAAGAAATACATTTTTGTTCTGATTCTTTTTCAAATACGTAACTAGATATGACGTTAATCTTAGTAGATTAAGTCAGAGAAAGTAAACATACCTTTGCATTTGCAGAGGTTACCGCGAAAAGTTTGAAATTATGAAATTTTCTTTCTTCAGGTTTGTTAATTGAAAAATGAAGGGAGATAATGATCTTGTATGTCCTTGTTAAACTGTCTTCAACGATGAACTCATTTAACAGAGGAAATCTCGTTTACTGGTAATAATTAATATACACTTTTTTTGCTCCTAACGGATTTCGCATTTTACGCGTTTGTTTCATTTTCGCAGAAGCTAAGTTTTTATACACTTAAGTTTGTGTACTTAGTATTCTGCAGATGGCAAACTAATAGTTGGATTATTAGAGAATTTTTTTTAAGAGTATCGTCTGGACATGTCTCTTGTGATAAAAATTCTTGGTATTATTTCAGAGCTTTATTCGTCATTGCCGCGCGATATGTTTACATGATGTTTAATGGTCCTTTAATAATGGGTACGGTGTGGTTTTATCAAATTCACCCTATATTGCTTCTGACATCACGCGAATTATAAGCCGCACACTTGTTAATAAAGTACAGCATGGTAGACATTAATCTCCACTTTGAAATGCATGTACATCTGTTTTTATAATTAGAGATGGATGGACGTAATTGTATACTTCACTTAGTCCATTGTTTTTCTCATTTAAATGAGTAAAAATAATCTTTCAAATTGTTGTTTTTATTTAAATATAAAATAATATTGTAAATAGGCTAAATGTAATACAACTGTCACAGAAACATTCAATTTTGTTTTGATTATGAACTTTACCTAATGTATCAGACATTATTTGTGTTTCTTGTACTTTAGGTAATGAGTACGTAATAATTGCGTTTCTGAATAGAGAAAATTCGAAATTCGTAAGTAAACGTGGTTATCACTAATGTCTTTTTTCTGTTAACGGGTGCAAAGTATTCATTGCGTAAGGAAATGATTTACCGCTTAAAATCGTGAGTCAGGAGATTCAAGTGATACTGTACATTTGTAGAATTACATAAGTTTTATTCACACTTACTTTTTCTTTCCAGGCAGTAATGATAAGAGAAATGAATTCCAAAATGAGCCGCCCACAAACAAGCAAACGCGGAATATTTGCGACTGTTGTCGTGTTGGCAATTGTCATTGGGAGCGCTCTTTTTGCATATACGGCTTTTGGAATGGCACCTCGTGATAGCGGCGTCGTGCAACAAGTGGCTATTGTAAGCATTTCAATTATTCATATATTAATTCAATTACACATTTTACAAATGTTACAAAATCGAAAGAAGAATCCAATCATGAGAAAAGGTGAAAGAGAGCATTAACTTGACTATGTACGTACAAGTTAAAAAATAAGCGTGGACTAATCATATATAGTAATAATGTCTATTTAAAATTTTTCATACGAGAATCTATTTGAACAATGTGAGATTTCGAATGTAATTCAGTAGATGTCATGTTTTGAAGACATTTTAAAATTAATCCTCAAGGTGTAACAGACTTAAAATCTAATCATTGTTATCTATTGTTTAGATTTTCAGACATGGAGATAGAACACCAACGGAAACCTATCCTAATGATCCGCATTTAACGCATAACTGGTCGGACGGTTGGGGAGCTTTAACAAAGGTTTGTTCAATGCAAATGTCAATTGACGATCGGCATATTAAGGACCACGAATATTTATATTTGATTAACAAAAACCAAGAAGGAGCAATATTGGAATGGCAATTTTTCAACTTGAAGGACCCTATTATCATGTATTTTATAAATCATTTACAATACACTTGTACTTTTCCGTACGCGCGGCTGTGCGTGATTTATTATCACACATGATTGCGAGATCAATATCAATCGAAGAGTTTTCCGAAAACAGGAAATTGGTCAAGTAAATGCAGATAAATCTGCTTCTTTCTGATTGAGTATACGCAAAAGTTTAGGTATGTTTATAGATGTTGATAAAGAACCATTTTTTTCCAGGAGGGTATGCTACAACTATACAACTTAGGTCAATATATTCGCAAAGAGTATGGATGGCTGGCAGGAATCAAATATCATCCGTCGATCATGCTTGTGCAAAGCAGTTACGCAGACCGTTGCATTATGTCAGCGCAATCATTGCTTGCGAGCCTTTATACCCCAAATGAAGAAGATGTTTTCTTTCCTGGATTAGCCTGGAGACCAGTTCCGGTACATCCGATTCCGCGAAATAGTGATAGAGTAGGTTAAAAGTTGAAAAGAAACGAGAAACATTAATGTTCTTGAACTAACATATGTAATATCTATTGAGTGAAAAGATTACTTTCGCGTATCCGTTTAAAAACCCCTTGATTACTAACAAACTTGAATTATCTACTAGATTTAAAAATAGTACGGCATAAATGAACAGGACAATGAATTACTATAAATTATAATTAACTATTTATATTTCGAGAATTAGGTATCGTTCTCTATTTAATTTAAAGTGATTTTATTTGTCAAGGGGGATCAAATTATAGTAATTGTATTTATAAAAATGGTCTGCACGCTTTGGACTATCGAGGCAGTTATTTTGTTAAGATCATGCCGTACTATTTTAACGAAAATCCTTTACTATCCAAATTGAATATACATTTAAGATTCAGAAATCATTCGGATTAAGAAATGTATTTAATTTTTGTAATGTCGACGGCTAATGTATTATCAGGTTATGGCTTTTTCTTTTCGTTTTTTGCTTTTAGATTATTGCAGTTAAAGAACCCTGTCCGCGGTTAGAGAAGGAGTTGGAGCAAGCATACATCAACGAATCACTGAGGTCGGGCACGGAGTTGGCATCATATTATGCTAAACTGACGCATTTTACAGGGAAAAACATAACAACTATCACCGACGTAGAATTTTTATACAACACTTTGGAGATTGAGGTATTCCGATGAAATTTATCTATTCAATGTTTCCTAACATCGTGCTACCTTGAGTACTACCGTGAAATAATTGATGGTAAAACTGAATGGTAAGATGATTGATTAATACAATACGTTACATTGTTAGGAACAAAATAAGTTGACACTCCCGGAATGGACGAAAGAGTTTTATAATTCGAAAATGCGGGAACTGGCAGCTCGCAGTTTGGCGCTGTTTACAAGTAACACCTTGCAACAACGGCTTCGTGGAGGTACATATTTTAAAATTTAGGTCCCTTACAGTTTTTAAGCATCTCCTTGCACCATATAAACGAAATTTTTCGTGAAAGCCAGTTTGCTTTTAAATCCACACTTATTTTTAATTACAGGTCCGATTCTGAAGGAAATTCTGTCTAATATGATGAGTACTCGAGTACAAAGCGATTACAAGAAAATGTATCTTTACTCTGCTCACGATACTACTTTGGTGAATACTTTAAGGACCATGGGCTTTACGGAGGAATTACTTAAGCCAGACTATGGCGCTGCTCTAATTTTTGAATTATTACTCATTAATGGCGGGCAGAATCAAGAGGTGAAGGTAGGCTACAACTGTTTAATAATTCTACAAATCGCATATATAACTCGTATAATAAAAGTAATGAAAATTATACCGTTTATGTCGACGATTACATTTATTCTTAGCGTGGTCTGTATTTTGAATACATTTTCCATTGATAATAAAAATGTGTTATAAAACATATTAAATGCGTATAAAAAATAATTGGATGTTCATAAGCATTGGCCATTTTTGTTGCAGGTTATGTACTTAAACAACACACAAACAAGAGTTCCATATCCGTTGACAATTCCCAAGTGTTCCGAACCTTGTTTACTTGAAAATCTATTGACCGTATGGAAGGATGTCCTACCTACTGATTGGAAAGCTGAGTGTCAGTTGCAGTAAAATTGTGTAAAGTTCCAAGATATATATTTAAGGGCTCTCGTACACGACAGGTAGTCGTTACCAGAAATTGATATTGTAAAGGTTCAATATACACAACCGACAATTTGTCAGATATTTGTGGCCGACCACCGGATCTGCACTGAATCGGTAGAAAAATGGAACATGTTGCACCTTTTCCGTTGGCTCGTATTTTTAGTCGTTTATGTACGGGGCCCCATAAGAATCTATTGTAAATATTGTATTCGATAGAATTGTCGGTCACTTATTGTCTGTCGTGGGCAGGAACTCTAACAAAATTAAAACACTGTAAAATAGAACACATATTTAAGATAAGTTCACGGTAGAAATTAAATTCACATTGAACTGATTAACGTGATTGTGTATAAAGTTATTAGAATTCCAGGTGGAATTTAGCAACATGGTTTATTTGTCTCTATTAAGAAACATACGCAGATTTTAATCATTAGTTCTTAACATTTAAAATGATGTATTTACCGAATCTAAAAGTGTTAATGTTAGCAATATTTTTTAATCGAAACACGTGGCACAAAATATTCATACCGATTATTTGCATATAATGCAAAAACTAGGATATCATCATCGTAATAATTTATAGTACATAACATACAGGTTCACTGAAGTTTTTTCACAAATCACAGATTCATACGGCATTAAAGTTAAGCATCAAGTTATTTTTATATGTAAAATAAAAACGTTCATTTTTATAAATACTGAATGGTTTACTTAATCACTAAAAATGGAGAAATGTCTGTTGGTGTTGCACAAATCGAATCTACCTAGGAATAAACTTCAGGATTGGCGAAAAATTTTACCGTTATTGTTTTCTTGAAACCATTTGTTGTTTCATTTCTGGCTCCTAACCCTCTTCACAATATTTCATTCAAACCAGTTAATCATGTCATTGGAAGTGAAAAAGTGACATAAACGGGGGGCGAGTCGGGGAAGAAATGCTAGAAATTTGCCGTTTCTCAATGACAATTTTGTAAGTTTTCTGGTTTGTATATAAATCATAGTGACACTCTGTATTGTATCGTTCTTTTTTAAAACCCAATATTCGCACAACACAAATCCAAGTAACGAATTAATTTAATTTTGCAATATTAAAATAGCCCTATAATAAACTAGCAAAATTACATTTTAAACGTTTAATATAGTTTTAATAATAACAAATCGTAGATTGCATTCGCCCCGACGAATTAAGAGGGAATGCCAGCCGTTGCGATTTAAAAGAAAACGCACGCAAATTCAATGTCATTAGACATGTCGAAAGGTAAAATTCTTGTTCAATAATTTATTATGATGTTTATTGTCTCAAGTATTTAATACAACATATGACTGGATGTTTTTTGCAATAATTCGACGTGCTTGCGTTTCGGTGACAGATGGATGTGTGTTAAGTGATACCATGCGCAAAATAATCAAAAGCAGAATGTATCGGGTTCGACCAAATTATAACTTTTTCACCTCCTTGCGTCGTTGGATAATTCAGATATGGAATATAATTGTCAGAAGGCTGAAAGGAACATTCGTTGATGTTCGTCGCATCGATTCCCAAACGAATCGGACAAGGTTTTTAGAAAATTATAATGTTTTATGATTATAAGTTATGCTCTGGAATATTTAAATGCCATTATAGTTTATATCATTTTTGTTTAAACACGACGCTTAATCCATGTTTAATGCACCTATGTATATGCATATTGACTTTGCTTATCAGTTCGTGGAATTCATTTTTGTACATAAATATTTGCCGAATAAACGTGTTTCTAACACATTCGCGACCGGCAAATTTTTTCCGTTTCAAATACTGAGTACCGGCGAAAATAATGAAATTCAGAAACTGATTGCCGCCAACTTGTATCGTGTATCGTCATGGACGTGATTCACGTCAACGGTAAACAGGAATAGAACTTGAAAAGACGTGAATTCACGTCAGCGGTCGCGAATGTGTGAATGAACTTGTTACGTGTTTAGGGCAGATGTAGGTAAAAGTTAAATAGTAGCAATTGATTTCAGTTTAGAATACGTATACAGTTACGACTGACTGCAATTCGAATAAGTGTGCATATGCTATAAATGCATAATTTAATGTATAATTTTAAGAACCTATGGAAATCACTTTAATCGTAATGTTTGTAAAAAGGCGTAAGGCAAGAAGTGGAGGAGCATTATGTGGCTTGGGAGAGTCAAAAAGCGGATTTGATGTAGATTCAGAAAATGCCTTTTGGCGTGAAGGCGGGACAAGAGATCTTGATAGAGAAACAATTTCCCAAATTATGAGACCAGATTTCCGAGACCAAGAACGTGTCGGATCGTATCTGACAAATTTTGAAAAGGCTCGACCCCTCAGCCAAAACGTAACCTGCTATACATACAATAATAAATATCCGTATAAAAAATATGACTGGATGAAACGGTCGGAGAGGCGAGCAAGGAAAATCGAAAGTCCGTTTTCGTCAGATGACGATTATTTTGCTTTATACAAAAAGTACAGCAGTAATTGTGGTGAAAGGAAGAAGTTCCATTCTCCTAGTGGAGACTGTAACGTAGAATCGCTGACGGAAAAATTGTCAGGTAAGATTAAAAAATTTCGTTTACCGAGAAAACATTATTTATGCTGTCAGGGTACAAAGACTTTAAATGGAAGAAATGATTTTCAAAAAAACATGAATTTATTTTATATGAACATTATTGCACCACGTTAGAATATATCTTGTCTCCTTATTAAAATAGCTCTTGCTTAATCTTCAGATTAGTTCATTAGTTTTCCTAGCACGTAGAACGATAATGGTCGGCGAATAAAATGCATTATAGATAAGATTATGATGTATAACATAAATAAGCACAATCATCTTTAGGGGACCGGAAAGAAGTCCAGGGGAAGAGATTAGGAAATGCCGTAGACGAGAAGACGAAATATAAACGCGATCAAAAAGCGTCTGAACTTAATTCCACAGAGGATGAGAATGGCGGAAAATGGATACAAACGATCTGTTTTGGCAGTGTTTGGTATTCAAAATCTGAACTTAACATGGCTGCCGCAAACGGAAGTTCCCGGACATTGAGACGAATGTCACGAATTCCCAGGAAAGCTTCACGTATCCCGAGACCACCCAGGCATTCTTCAGAAAAGCGCACCTCCCAGAAATTTTAAATTACTCCGTGTACATAATACAACAAATGTGTCAAAGAATGTAATTCCAAACATAAATATTTTTTAGCACTTTTATGCGCATTGCAATTGAAACTTGGGATTAAAAAAATTCTCGTGATTGTCATTCGATATAGTTTGATGAGGCGGAGATCACGAATGATGTCATTAATATCGGATATTCAGCCAGCTGTCAGTTGTCATTTATGGCGCCCAGATCCTAACCATCTTGCGTCTATCAAAATTTCGGGCTACGAAGACCTCCAAGAAAGATATTAACCAACTAGTGCAGGTTCCTTTCGCTGGGAGGAACTAAACTATCCTTTAACATAAGGGAAGATGAGCCTCTCGAATCGAAAGGTAAAATGGCCCTAACCAACGATTGAAGTACATAATATCCTTCTTAAGTTTCCTTTCATAAAACTTGATTAACTCTATCGTTAACGAATTTTGAAGAAATTTTAAATATATTGTTTAACATTATATAAGTTTTACATTCCTGAAGAAATGACATCATTCTAATATAAGCTTTAAAATGACATTTTGTCATCACGAGATTTTTGAGTGATATATCAGTCACTATCAGAATTTAACAACGAATCGAATGAGCCTAAAATAATCGCGGTAGAGTAATTTTGAAGAAAATTATAAAGCCGAATATAATCCGGCAGCAAAATATGTCCGCTTGAAAATTATCTATCATTTTTTTTAAACGAAGTGATCTCACTCTTTAACATACTGTTCAAATGATGTTTTTCCTTTCTCAGGAGAAAAGCTCGCAATTAACATGCTATATTAAAAATATAATGAAAATTGGGTAAAATGGCGTTTAAAACCTGGAATCTTAAAAAGGACACCTTGAACATGCCTTTTTAATCATCACTTAAAATCTTTCGTTAAATAAATCATATCTGAACCCAATTAATCCTTAGTATCCCGAGTCAACTTGTTGGAGAACCGCCCGTGGGAACCACCCGGGCTCGTCAAAGGGTTTATGATCCAGGGATGCAACACAGAAAAGCTCGAGTAGAGCCCGATCCATCCCTTCGTAGAAATCCCAGTGAAGAGTCCTCGAGATCCAAAGATGACGAGGACTATATTCAAAACCAACCCCTACGTCGATGGGTCCAACACATCTGGACAGTTTCGAATAACGTAACAAATCGTCTTCGAGATATCCTGAAGGTTTCCGTCAGCTCGCACACGAGTCTCAGCGACTCCACTCCCAGAAGATCTTATAGCCGCAAGGAAGGGTTGAGATCCTCGTCCAAGACCGTCAATGAACATTTGCTCGGTAGTCATGCGCGTCTGCATGATAATTTGAGGTATCGAGGGTCTTTTCATGAAAAGTCCCAAGATTTAGGTGAACGATTGGGCCAGAGGCAGAGCCATCGGATTTATAGGCCTAATGAACGGGGTAAATGTGCTGTTCATCCCTCGAGAAGTTTCCTTCAACCTATGGGCGGAAACCATCCTTCGCCTATCTTGGTGCTGCCTAGGGTTCATCCGCAGACCGGCCAGCCAATTTATAATCCTGGAGCCTATCAGTAAGTTGGTATCGCGTGTGCTGTTTAAGGTATTTGGCGCGAAACTCTACCGAGTTTCCTGGTGGTTGCAAATTGAAAATGCATGTTTAAGGGGGTTAGCACGTTGTGAAATGCGGCTTATGCAGAGTCTAACTTAAATTATTTTATATTCAATATCCTGGAAATATTCACTTTTTATATGTGATGGATGATGGTGATAGAAATTGAAATCATGCCGCTATATAAAGTGTCGGGAAAATACAAGCAAAAAGGAAACGCATTTGCCGAGTAGATCTTAAAAGATAGTCAATTAAATTAATTATTGATTCTTGATGATCACAGCGAATGTTTTACCGTAGGCATCATCACGTTGTCCACAATGGAAACCAATGGAACTCTAACTGGCGAAACAGGAGTTATCAAACGTTTTGGAATCAGCATAATCCAGCAAAGATATCAAGTGTGATCGGTCACCAGGTTCGAGAGAGATTCAGTTTCCCCGGCGTTCCAAGACAGTCATCTCACAAATCTGATAACAGCGATGGAGCCAATCAGGAATCCATTCATCAGTTTTCCACCCGAAATGATAACTCGTCCCGAACATCCGTGGAATCGAGATTACAGTCGAGAATATCCCTAAAACCAGATACTCCTCCTTCAAGGTCCGAAAGGAAAGAGAGTCATTCGAGTATCCCCAATCAATCCGATCACAAATTTAATGAATCCAACGTTCCTGCAAGCGTTATAAAACGGTCGAATGGGAAAAAAATAGTTTGGGACGCCCAACTGTCCGATATTCCATCCCAAGATCCCAGTTCCAGTAATCAATCCAAAGGCGGCATATCGATAGAGTCTTCTTCCCATTCTGTCACCTTAACGGTGGAGAGAAACGGCCACGACCATTTGGGTGTAGGTCGAAGTATGATCCAGTCATCTGCGAGGTCCTATTTCAATTCCAACCCTATAGAGGAAAGAGTCGAGGAGTTTGAAAAATCAGTAGATACAATATCGAAGGACGTCGACGGCACATCAAGTCCCAAAAATAGGATGGGAGATTCATCGAGAAATTATAATAACCCCTCTGTAAATTACGCCAAATTATCAACCATAACAGAAACCTGTATGGATT